AAAGAACAATGTCTCACAAGCTGTGATGGATGCAAGACCTCTCAAACCAATATGAAACCAGGTTTTGAAAGAACAAAGTTCTCTTTCTTTCCTGCACTACCTACGCCCTAGGGCACTACAGAAAATGAAAAAGCAGGCAAGGCATGCTATTGGAGATCTCTGGGTCATTCGTGAGTAATTAACTCCTGATCATTTAATGGCTGATGAAGGCAAATTATCCCCAAAGAGACTCACTTTTCTGAGTAGAGACTCCAGGCTCCCATGACTGGTAGGACCCACTCCCGACTCACAGGATTGGCAAGTCCAAGCACCCAGCCCCAGAAGTGGGATCCTGCTCTCCCTCATCAGTCACTGCCCAGACACCCCCCTGCAAGCCTTGGTGGATTGGGACGGCTCATTTATGAGCCTGTATTTTTAGACGAACCTATCTTTCCATATATAATCAAGTTAAACACTACAGTCTTACTTTTTTTAAATTGTAACTTTAATTTTTTTTAATATTAAGAAGCACTTTTTGTATTTTTACCCAGCTATCTTCATTTCCTCTAAAATAGAATTCACTCTTCAGACTAAAATTTTCACATCTCTATCTCCTTCACTCTGCTTCAATTATCTAAGACAATGCCTCCTGTATTCATGACAATTTTTTTCAATGTGTCCCATTAACCTACTTAAATGACCTGCAATAGCAACAAGGGGAATTTTTATTAAATTGAAAGCAGGATATTCCGCTATTACCTTGTTTCTTTTATAAAATGTCAGGCACACTATTTCAATGATTTCTCAGCAGACTGTGAAAGGCTCCCCTATAAACTGTTCACTCATCTCATGATGTTTAAAATTACAAGTGTTAGGAGATGAAATTCACGGCCTCATATCTTGACCTTCAGTGTCTGGTTGACTAGATTTTTTTTTTTTTGAAGGACATAGGTTGCTCTTTCTCTAGCCAACGTTATCCATGATAAGGAGTCCATTATTTTAATTGCTACTCATGAAATAATACAGACATTAGAGAAGCTGTCTCTCTAAGTGTCTTTCTCCAATTAAGCTGCTGACCTTCATATTTCATGCTTCTCCTATCCTTGAAAAAACAATGCTCTCTGTGTCCCCCTTTCTTTCTCTTCCTTTTTCTTCATCATATAGTAGCTCTTTTAGTGACTAAATCAACCTGCCAGGTACATGTTAGAACTAAGCCACTCTGATCAGAATGTTTATGTTTCTCCCACCCCATTCAAATGTTGAAATCCTAATCTCCAAAGGAGATGATACTACTGAGAACATGATGGAACATTTGGAAAGTGATTAGATCATGAGACCTAAAGAGATTAATGCCCTTATGAAAGAGATCCAGGGTTCCCTAGGCCCTTCTGCCAGTTAAGGATACTAGGAGATGGCATTCTGCAACCTGCCACCTGATTCTCAGATGTTAGGAACTATGAAAAATGCTGTTGTTCATGAAATATCCAGTTTGTGGTTATTTTAATACTAACCTGAACAGATTAAGGTATAGACCTTAGATCCTATTATAAATATGCAAAAGTGCGAACTATTAGAGATGTTTTAAGCACTACCAAAGTGAAATTTCATGGGTCAAATAAGACCTTGACTCCTTCAGTGTGATTATCAGATTAATTATGCCATTTTTAAATGCAGAGCCAGGCTAAGCCTGATGAGGACAGTGTTATTCTAATGCTACTGAAAAACAATCATTTTTTAAAGTAAAGAAGCAATGTTATGCCATATGTAATAAATGAAAAACAAGAATGCGAGCACTTGAGTGTAAAGAAGGGTAAAATGGGGGTGGGTCCTTCCAGCCTGATCATGAGTAGAGTGAGCACTACATATGTTTGTGTGAGGGAAGTGAGAGCTACAGATGTTTGTGTGAAGGACAAAAATTTTCAATTGTCTGCACTTGAAAATCTCAAACTCTATTAGGACAGCAATCTACTAAGAAGTAATCAGGAAACATTATTTGGCACAAATTTTAGTTTTTACACTGTCTTGAGTTGCTGATGATGTATCAGAGATTTAGCACCCTAGGGAAATCAAATTAGTACCCAAGATACCTTGCAGCAAGGGAAATGAAGTGAAGAAAGGTTAAGAGATGAGGTATCACGACCACAAATGGACAAAGTGTTTGGGTGAGGGAGAGTAGGTGGAGTAGGTGGAAGGCGGGAAAAACAGGGTGCACTTTTTTTTTTAACCAAAAGCTTCCTACATGGTGGACAGATTGCAAAAGGACATCCTCTGGTTAGAGGCAGGTATAAGAAAGAAAAGGTAATAGCCCTTTGTAAATCTACAATTTTGGCAACACCAAGACCTAGTCCACACATTGTTCTAATCAATAGCATTAAATACATAAAGAATCTTTACTGACTGAATGTATTAAGCCAATTTAATTTACATGTTTTAATAAAATAAACCAAATAAACACATTGTCAAGCATTTAAATTCATGAACTAGAAATGTGAGAATAACTTTTAAAACTAGAAATATTTAAAACTTAAGATTCCTTAAACAAAGTCCACTTTACCTTAGAACTTTTCTTTGATGTGGGAATCCAACGAAGCTTAAAGTTTTTCTGTTGAAATCTAGGGGGAAAAAATAAAGTAACACTGAAATAGCTATGCAACAAATCAAAATAAAAAACTTCAAGGCAAAAAAAATCTTCAAACACTCCCTTTGAACATAAAATTTAAGAAAAAGGAAACTATCAATCAGATAAAAGATAGGAATGCAAAACTGAAACCCAAAAATCAAATTCTACATATACATTTTATATAAGCAAGTTTTCTTTCTCGTGAAAATCAGCCAATGTATTTTGTAGATAAGCTTTTTTGACAGTTGAGTGGTACCATATAAGTCCATATGACTACAAGAACAACTCACACATGTAATTACCGAATAACACAGTTATACACTCAGGGGGAAAAAAGGAGAGAAAAATTAAACAACTTTATTCAAGGTTTAGATAAACAGAGATCTTGAATGTCATCACTGCCTGATATATTGAGAGGGCTTGCAATGCTGAGGTAGGAATGGGAGACGGAGAGGAGTGATGAAGAGTGGAGGCTACTTTAACTTTGTTTGTATTGCCTTCATTTAAATCTAAACAATAATAACACATCAAATTAACCATACACTTATTTATTTTTGAAGCCAAGAAACACATTATATAGAGACAGCTGGCAACAGTTCCATATAGCAAAGACACAGCTGAGTGGATGGGAAAATCTAAAGCAGGTATAGACAAAATTTATAATCAGTCTAATGGCAAGTAATCTGTTAGCCAGATTTTGACAGCACGTACAGAAATTTCTCCTAAGGAAATGCCTTTTGCTATTTAATATTTGGGGGCAGAAGCCTGAGGAAAAAGAGGTACAAAATTTGCTAGATGCTGACGTGGCATTATCTATCAGAAAATACCCTGAATCTGAGAATCTGAAAATACTGACCAGCTAGAGAACAAATAAAATGAAAAGTCTAATTGCTAGTTAAATATCTAGGCTTTTCTCTTAACTATACAAATTCCTTGTTATACATTTGAAAAAGGAGAATACAAAACACTATAAAATTTGTAAATTCCTTAATCTAAGGGTGGAATTGTTCAAATCATTTTTCCAATAAAGCATTTATGATAGAAAATCATTGTATATATAACCACTGAATTTCAAATACAATGTTCAAAATAACCTCAGTATTTCACTTTTGTTCAATCAGTGAAGTAAATCTGTGCTACTACTTCAGTAGTTAAACTGAGAGCATATATTTTCCTCGGTGTTCAACAGGAAGCCACTAAAAAGACAAGATTTTATTACAAACTGTCTCACATGAAGATTTAATAAAAAGACAAATGCCACAGCCTACTGGAAATAATTTAGTAAATATAGCATTTGGGTTAGAAAAATATTTTAGTTAACATGCAGCACATCCAGAACGTGATCCAACTTTGGACACTGAAATTTAATTTGAAAATTTTCCTACATAAAGACTTTGATGGTTTAGCAATATTATTAATTTACAACAGAAAAAGAGATTCATGTTCTTCAGCAATCACAAGATAAAACTAATTTATACTCAACTAGATGTTTAAAAGGTTCTTTGAAAAAAAAAACTGTAGCTAACTGGACACAGGAGAATGAATACAAGGCAGAGTTGGAAAGTACAAATATTTTCCAAATATAAACACAAAAAGGGTATTTTCTATTTCTTTTGCCTTACCTTGTTTCTCAGGGAATTTGAGAGCTCCCAAATAGCTGGAAATTCCTGGGCTTCTTAACATGGTTGCACATAAAATTCAATATCAGAGTCTAATTTGCAGCTAGTTCTTAACTAGCAGCCTTCAGTCTATCCATATAAAATTGGGTTGAGATTTCTTATCGTGCAGGGATAGAGCAATCAGGCACTTGTGTCCTTGAGAATATAGTAGACAACAAAGCAAGAGACTGTAGGCAGGAACAGCTCAAACCCCTAATCAGATTAGCAGCAGAAATCATGACTGTGGATACTGAAACAGTCTGTATTCCTGTTATAGGACATTTATGATGTTGCCACTTCAAAGTAACAACCCAATCATAGCTCATGTTTCAGCTAAGCAGACAATGCTGCAACCTCACCAACAAAGGGGAAGTTAAAAACAACTCCCCTCTTCCCTAAAAATAAACAAACAAAAAGAAAAATGTTGAGAAACTCTCCAGCATGGGGAAGAAGGGAAAGTGCCTAACAATTCCCAGGCTGCTCCAAGACTGGCTTTGACTAAATTAAATGAAATATTTTATCTAACAGGAAGCCAAAAAAGCCCATAGTTAACAGTTAAGACTTATGAACAACATATGAGTAAAATTGTGGGAAAAGAAAAGGCAGATACTACCACAGGTTCAAAAATTTTAATTTGAGACAGAAGCTCTTAAGCATTATCTATTCAACTGCCATCTGCTTAAGTTGTTGTCTTTTAAGAAGACTTTAGCTTTTAGAGCAGCTTTAGGTTTTCACAAAACGGAGTGGAAGTTATAGGAGTTTCTCAAATACCCCCTGACCCCACACATCATTACTTCCCTATTATCAACATCCACCCCAGCAGAATGGTATGTTTTTTATCAAGGACAACCCATTGACACATGGTAGTCACCAGCCATAGTTTAGAGTTCTCCAGTGGTGCTACACACCCTAAGACTTGGGACAGAAGTATAATGACATATTCATCATTACAGTATCACATGTAGTGTTGTGAGTTGTTGCTATCTGCAGTCTCTTGCTTGTGTGTACCATACTCTCAAGGACACAGTGCCCAAAATCATCCTCTGAGCTCTGCCCATTCATTTCACTTTCAGTTCTATCAGCTACTGATCTTTTTTGTTTCGTGTCTTCATAATATGCCTTTTCCAAAATGTCATACAGTTGGAATAGTACAGTATATGGTTTTCCAGATTGGTTTACTCCACTTAATAATATGCATTTAAGGATCTTCCATATTTTTAGATGGCTTGCTAGCTCATTTTATTAGTGCTGAGTAATAGTCCATTGTCTGAATGGAGCACAGTCTTGCTACACTGACCTAAGAAGGACATTTTTGTTGCTTCCAAGTTTTGGCAATTATAAATAAAATTGCCATAGATATCCATATGCTGTAAGTTTTCATCTTCCTTTGGGTATATGACAGGAGAATGATTGCTGGATCATATGGATCACATTGTCAGAGTATGCTTAGTTTTGTAAGAAACTGCCAAGGTCTTTACCAGAGGAATGGTAAAACTCAGCAATCCTACTCCTAGGTATCTACCCAGAGGACATAAAACATTGATTCAAAATAACATTTGCACCCTCATGTTTATTGCCATTCTCTTTACAACAGGAAAGACATAGAATCAACCCAAATGCCCAAAAATATATAACTGGATTAAAAAGATGTGGTACATATACGTAATAGAATATTACTCAGCAGTCAAAAAGATAAATTCATGCCTTTTGCAGCAACATGAATGAAGCTAGAAGGGATCATGCTTAGTAAAATAAGCTATAAAGAAAAAGAAAAACACCAGATAGTTGTACTCATAGCGGGAGGCAAGGGACCGGGGGGTGTGGGGAGGAAGCAATTGTAATAAAGAAAAAAATGAAAAGCAATGAATAACTATATACCAGAAACATTTTACAAGGGTGAAGAGGGGAATGGGATCAAAATGGGTTGGGAAGGTGTATAGGACTTTGGTGATGGCACACAGGTGATGGGAAGTCCATGGGGATTACAACCAAGATGGAAAAATGAACAAAATGCAGAATAATGTAAAAATAAATAAATTAAACAAAAATAACAAAAAACTTTGCATTCCCAGCAGCAATGTATGAGCGTTCCTGTTGCTCCATCTCCTCACCAGCATTTGGTGGTATCAGTGTTTTGTATATTTGCCCTTCTAATAGGTGTGTGGTGGTACCTTAATGTTGGTTTAATTTTCATTTCTCTTTTGACACATGATGTGGAACATCTCTCCATATGCTTATTATGGTCTTAGTTAGCCATGACCTGATGATAAAGTTTCCAGTACAGTGATACACAGCACTTATATCATCTATATGTTTACATCTTCTTTGGTGAAGTGCTTGTTCTTCTTTTTTTTTGTATCAGTTATTTATTTATTATTGAACTTTAAGAATTATCATGTATCATGGGTAATAGTACTTTATCAAATGTGTTGTTTTGCAATTATTTTCTCTCAGTGTCTTTTCTAATTCTCTTAATAGTATCTTTCACAGAAGAGATTTTAATTTTAATGAAGTCCAGTTCATCAATTATTTCTTTTACAGATCATGCCTTTTGTATGATATCTAAAAATTCATGTGTTTTCTTCTATGCATTCTACATTTGGGTTTGTGATCTATCTTTAGCTAGTTTTTGTGAAAGGTGTAAAAGAAGGCTCATATTTTTTACATGTGGTTGTCCAGTTGTTCCAGCACATCTGTTGCAGAAGTTACTTTTGCTACATTGTATTGCTTGTGAGTCTATATTCTGTTCTCATAGCCTCTACTCCCTGTATTTGCCTGTATGCCTCTCCAATCTTGGAGGCAATGGATTGCTCTGGGTCCTTCTTTCACTTATGGGCCCATAAAAAATTATTTACTTTTTCAGTCTGTTCAGCTTTTATTTGCTATTGGAATAGAGTGGTGATTCTCAGCCTCCTTAGATGCAGAAAAATTGGAGTCCCCTTGTTTATTTTTAACTACAATATGTAGCTGGTGGGCCTAAACTACGATAATACAAGCCCAACAAAAAATATGCTATGATTAGAGGTGGGCAATTTTACAATTAAAGAGAACCCAGGAAAATAATTTCATTTATGTTATGAGGAACCATGGCTAGAGATGTAACTTGCTCATGGGTAGATGTGTGGTTAATGATAGAGCCACTGGTTCCTGGGGAGGCAGACTCAAAATAATTCTTCCCTCCACAGCCCCACAAGGCAAGGACCCTGAATTTTTCTGTCACTGTTCAGTGCTGGACATTATACCTGGTACATAATAGCCTTGTAGTAAATGTTTGCTGAATGAATATATGCAATAATAAAATAATCTTTTTTTTAAAGGCTAAAGTTTACACACT